TTAATTCCTTAAAACTTAAAAAAAGTTCCCCGACGCATTTGTTAGAAAATGTTTAAATATGTTTGGAACAACTTGACTATGTGCAGATCTATTTTATAATTGCTAATTTTTAATCAAGTATTTCTGATGAAAATTTAGTGTCCAAATTGAGATGTGCTGTAAGTGTAAAACACACACAGGATTTTGAATATATATATATATATATATATATATATATATATATACTACCTCATTGATTCTATGTTGAAATGATAATATTGTGGATATGTTAGGTTAAATAAAATATATTATTGAAAATTAACTTTGTTTATTTTCCACCTTTTTCAACGTGGCTACTAGAAAATTTAAAATTACACGTGTGGCACACATTATACATCCATTGGATAGTGCCAGTCTAAACAATTGTAAGGTTAACAGTTTCCAGGAATTAAAATCTTATAACCCCTTTCAATGGTCAGATCCATTTCATTCAATTTAACAAATATTTACTGATGAGGGCATTGTGTTTGCTGGGTGTGAGGTCCTACTGTGTAGGAGGCCCTGCAATTACTACTGAGCAGAAAGAATACAAGTCTAATCTATGGCACCACAGAGTCACAGGGGGATTAAAAAGAGATGCCAGTCCATCGGCTGGTAAGGAGGAAGTAAAAGAGAGAAGGGCTTCAAGAAGAAGGTGGCCAGTGGGCTGGGCAGTGAGGAAAAGTGAGGATCTGGGCCAGGAAAGTAGGGACAGCATGCCGTGCAAAGAACCTTGGTTTACCAATCCATCCTTCCTCAGGTTCTTCGCCCCCGAGTCCCCCTTCTCCAGGGCCTGCCCTTGGCCCCTGGCTCTTCTCAAGCCTCGTACCTTCCCAGGAGGTCCCACCTGTACCCATGGCTTCAATGCCCGTGTCTACGCAGACAACTTTCAAATCTCCATTCCCGACCCATACCTCTCTCCTGATCTCTAGGTCTGTACAGTCAATGCCCATCGACATGTCCATATAGATGTTTCTCAGATATTTCAAACTCCATCAACACTCCACACCCCCAGCTGAATGCATCTTCTCCCCACCCTAAACTCGGGACCTTTTTGTCCTTCTCTTGAGGAAGTGGCGGGAGCAGTCACCCAGCTGCCCAAGCCAAGAACCTAGATATCATCCTTAACTCCTCCCTTGTATTACCAGCCCTGCACACCAGCCCCAAGTCCTGTGGCGTTTTCTGCCTTCATATTTCTCCCATCTGGCCCCTTCTGCACATGCACACTACTGTGGCCTGGGTCCAGGCTGTCACCATGCCTCACCTAGATTACACAAAAGTGTCCTCACTGTTGTTGCTGCTTCCTGAGTGTCCCCTCAAGCCATCCTTTATGCTGCTGTCAGGGCGATCTCACTACAATTGAACATTGCTCCTTTAACAACTGCATGCAGCTTTCGGGGGTCGGAGGGCAGTGCAGATTCCTGAGATCAGCACAGACAGCTATGACCTATCCTGCCCACCTCCCTACTTCACCTCCTGCCTCTCCCACATGCAAATACTCCTGACATTCTGTTCCCTTTACCTGGGACACTCTTCCCACTTTCTTTAAAAAAGTCTTTTTATTGTGGTGAAAAATATACAACCTAACATTTACCATTCTAATTTGGTTTTCCTTGTCTAGCTCATTTCTACTTATCCTTCAAATTCAGCTCAAGTGTGACCTCTTCTGAAAATCCGTTTCTACGTCCTCTTCTATGCTACCAGTATCTTAGCTTTTATCCCATTGTACCATGTGTTAGCTATGTCTTTTTTACAGACACCCTAAGACAGTGTCTGTCTTATTTAACTTTGCATCCCAGGGGCTGCACTGTACAGCTGACCAGGTTTTGTACTGCACAAGGATGCCTAGTGGAGGAAGTGAGTAGGGGACGAAGACCATTGGCCAAATGTGCACCCTGGTCCTGGGCTGCATCCAGGCCTTTTTCTAATTGGCACAAAGGTGCATAGGTGACTTCAGTGGGTCCTATATATCCCCAGTACTTGCTATAGAGTTGACACCTAGTATTATGGTAGATGCTCATTAAATGGCTGAGTAAAGACAGATGGGTACCCTAGAGAATGGTCAGGGGGACATGTGGTAGGGGAGCTGGAGCAATGGGATGGTACTGAATGATTAGGGCTCGATTAGGGGGTTTGAGCCACTTTGTAGAGAGTCCCTTATGTTGGGGTGAGGGGCTAACTCTTAAAATCTTTGAGAATTTTTGAGAAGACTGTGACTTAGAATCACAAAATCTTCAGGCTTGAAAATGAGACTCAGGGAAGTAAAGTTACGTGTTTAAGGTCACACAGAAAGTTAGTGGCCGAACCAGGACTTGAACTGGCTTTTCTTTTTCTCTTGGAAGATCTAATTGGCTTTATTAAGTGATTCAGGGATTGGGCAGCCTCCCATCTAGCAATTAGAGGGGTGCTCCCCCAACCTGGCTTTTCTTGCCCCTAGCTCAGTGTCTGTCCTTCCACACTGCTCCCTGGGGAAGCCTTCCTGAACTGAGGCTGAGCCCTAGAAGTTTCTAAGCCAAGTCTTCCCAGCCTTCCTGACGCATGTCCCTGGTGATGGTGGGTAGGGGGATGACAGCCGGGCTGACCGGAGGTGAGAGTAACTAGTAGGCTGCTGCAAACAATGCTTAGCCCCTTTCACAATGCACCTCTGCGTCTGTCTTCAGAATATCCACCTAGTTTAAGTTAGGTAAATTGCCTGTTAGCTTTCCGTTCTTCACACAAGGCAAGCACTCTAGTGTGGGAGCCTTTTTCTCACAAGAGCTATTTGCCTCCTTGTAATTCTTCTGGTTGCTTTTCTTTGGGCCCTGGCTAGTTTTTTCAATTCTTTCAAAATCACCTTCTGCCTCTGGCCGAAGGGGCCTTTGGCCAACAGCAGGTCTTACTAAGTGTGTGTTGAGTCAGTTAAATTTAATGTGGACAGAGAGTTAACCCCAGCGGTCTCCCCGAAGGCTTGCCTCCTGGGGGGGGGGGGTTCTTGCTGTCCTGTCTCACTCTCCAGAGACCACATTTATCATTTATCATTTACTGCGTTCATTTTATTAATGTGATCTTCCGCGACTCCTGGGTCTCCCTCCAGCTTACTCCTCCTGAGCCCCTTGCCTAGCTTTCCTCATTTGGTCTCACGGTAGCTCACTTCTGGACCCTGAATAAATGGTTTTATCCTTTTCCATTTTCAACTTCACTCTGAGTCAGAGCCATTTCTCTACTTTTTCAGACAGATTTGACTTCTCGACCTTTATTCCTGGGTTGCAGAAGCTCTGTCCTTTGGCACATGTGATAAAAATGATAACATTACCATCAAATATTTATCGAATGTGTACTCTGCTCCAGACATTGAACTTGCTGCTTTTCTAGAACGTTGCTCACTTAATCCTCACAACAACCCATGGGGAAGAACTATTATTAACTCCATTTTACAGATGAGGAAAACTGAGGTGCACCAAGATCGAGGGACTTACCCAAAGTCACCCAGATGAGGTTTGTACACAGGCAGTGATTCCGGGCTTGAGCTTACATCAGGACACCTGATGCTCTCTTAACAAACAGCCTTTGGGGCTTTCTGAGGTCACTGGTAAGAGGGGGACTCACACTCCCAGAGGCCCAGCGAGATCACTGCTGTTACTCTCAGGCTGGATTTTCCCTAACCAGCTATTATTATTATAATACATCCTCCTACAGGATGGACCTGAGAGCCTAACAATCAGAAGAGAACAAAGCTTGTCAAGGAGGCCCACCTGCATGACGGTTAACTCCCGTTCTTGACAGCTGTGGCTAACCTTTCCACTCCATCACAAGGCTCTTTACTTGATTTGGCATAATTAGCTCTTTACAAAGTTATAATTTCCAGCGTGCAGTGACAAACCAATTGACGGATGATTTTAGTCCACAGCTTTCCTAGGTATGAACTGAAGTATAATTAACTATCACTAATTAACAGAACACTTTTTCTCTTCAAACATTTAAATCAGATGAACTCCACACCCATCCCTTGTCTGCCTTCGTGAGGCCTGAAAGGTAAGGCTGGAGGCTCTTGTAATAAGCCAGTCCTTAAGTGTTTCATGTTAGGTCCCTCTGCGTTTGAAGATACAGGCAGACCGCGTTTTATTTACATTTCACTTTGCTGCGCTTCCAGGTGTTTTTTTACAAACGGGAGACAAGACCCTCTGCCAGCAAAAAGACGACAACTCGTTTTAGTGCGGTGGTTCAGAACCAAACCTGCGATATGTCTGAGGTATGCCTATACTCATCTTCTGTCGCCTGTCCTTGTTTTCATTTTGGTTTCCTATCAGCCCATGCCACAGGTAACCTTCTCTGATGTTTTGGTAAAGACTGAGATTAAAAAAAAAATGAATTAAAGCCTCTGATTTTTCATAGTCACCTGCAATTAGCTCTCTCCCACCCAATTAAAAGGGTGACATTCTCTTAGGATTTCCTCTTCCTCATCCCATGGTCAGTTCCCAATTACCTGCCTCTGCTGGCAGCTATTCCACCAGCAAACACCCAGCTGCTCACAGCAGGGAGACTCTGTGGGGGGCCTGCCTCCCAGGGCTGCAGGACCACCAATCCCCACTCCCCACTTCCCCATATTCCCTCCCACCGTAATCCCTGCTGGGCAGACTGACTGTGCTTTTGATTATTTACACCAGTGCTTCTCTTCACTGGGGAGGAAAATTGAGAGGTGACCGTATAACTGAGGAATATTTCCCTGTTACTCTTTTCCAAGACACAACTTGGTTCAGCTCTCAGGAGCAGAAAAAATTCCCCTGTCAGGCCTACGGCAGTTTAAGGTCCTATGTTCTTGCTGGTGTTTAGCTTTCTCACCCCATAAATCTGGTGTTCGGTCCCTTCCCCCCCTTAGTTCCCCCAAATCCTGAACACCAGACGAGGCCCAGGAACAAAGCCAGAGGGTAATCACTGTTTCCCCATGGTGACAGGGATAAGCAGGGAGGACAGACAGCTGCTGGCTGCCAGCACCCGACACTCACCATGGTTTGTCCCTTGATCCTTTCGCAGAAAAGACTGTGTGCTGTTTGCTGCTGGAGGTAAGTAGATTGTCTTTGGGCGTTTTGAATGGCTTTGAGGTGCTGCTGGCAGAGTTATGGCCGCTGAGACAGGCTTTTGTTTTCACCTGTACTAGTGATGTCCTGGAATTGGAGGGTGGAGATGCTGGAGAGGAAGAAGGTCTGCACATTGAACCGTGTCTTCTCTCTACAAAGGGAGAAAGATCAGAGCTCAGCACCTCATCTGTAGCAAGTGAGTGTGTCACACACTCATGTATACTCATCTGCAACAGGCAAAGAGACGTGCTCTTCTTGCAATGCCTGCATCCCTGAAGCCTCAGTTCTGGCTACGGTTTATCCTGACACAGCTCCTCTCCTACCAATTAGTAACGACATTCCGCATTTCTGTTTCAAATGGCATACTAAACTAATACCACGGTTCTTACGGGAGGAATTTTTTAGGCCATTCTTCTGCAAAACCACTTCCATAGGACTAGAGAGGGCACCAAGTGTCACCTGAACACAGTGGGATAACCACATAGTCAAAGCGATCCCCAGGCAACTACTCAGAGGCCACAAAGTCCCTCAGGGTGGTGGGCAGGGCAGGACTCCCAAGAGAATAAATAGGAAATTCTCAAACCTGGCGCACAGCAGGATCGTTAGGACCAGAAGGAGCAGTAAGGGCAGAATGAAAGTGTCCTCGAGAGCTACGATTGGACCAGCATCTGTCCACACACCAGCTATGGCCTCTCCAGGGCTCCCTAAGATCCAGGGTTACAGCTGCTCAGCTGGGACATGCAGGAGGACACCAGTGCTTAAAGCAGAGCCCACAGATGTGGGGCCTGGACTTGGGTGGACAGGCACAGCTTCCTGGGGGTTCTACAGAAAATCCAAGAGCGCTGGGCAGACATGTCCCACTTGTTCATACTCAGTCAGACCCCATAGGCTCAACCTGATGGGCGGGATGAGGACACTGACCAGGACAGCAGAGCATGAAGTAAAGCTCTTGTGTCCTCCCGCTGTGGTGGTTTGCAACTATTATAGGGTAACAGATTTGATAAAAGTTGAGGACCTCTCCCAAGAAAAATGCACATTTATACATGCCCCCAAACTTAGTACACTGTTACAAGAAGGAACCCTGGACCCCCCAAAACACAAAGGCTCTGAAATTGTGGGTCCTCTCTGGCTCTCTCGGGCGTACGACAGGGCCTAAAATCGCGTTAGTGCTCAATTAATATGTGCTCGATAAATAAATGAAATTATAACAGATGGGAAGAACTAGAGATCACAAATCTGGAAATCTGGGTTGAATGTGATAATGAACAAGGTGGGAGGCAAAGATGGCAGCCCACATTCTCCCTCCGCCTCTAAGCTGAATTGCATCTCCGGCTTTTGTCGTCAGTGAGACATTTCTGGCAGCTACTCCAGGCATCTCACCTGGTCTGTCGGAGATGGGACTTGGGATTTTCTCTGTGCTCCACTGTACTAACGCCTTCCAGGTTATCTCAAAGCAGACTGACTCTAGTCCTCTGATGAAGTGGGAATTGGGAGGAAAAAGTGGATTTTTGAGGATCATCTGATTTTTGGGTATTTTTACCTGACCAGTAGTCATAGTTTACCAACACTGAATAAACTTAGAGCATAATATTTCTTCATTGAATCAGAGTAGACCTTGCATACATGCTCAGTTCCCAGAGCCATCCTGTTGAACGTTTTGAAAACCAAGAGCGAGTTCCAGGGCCTCTGTTTTGATGTAGTAGAAAGAGCCCTGGGCTGGGCGTCAGGAGATCAAGGCTCCAGCTCCAACCATACCACATTATTAGGCTTGTGGCCTGGAGTTCACTACTTAAACTTTCTCAGTTTCCACGTCTTAATCTGTAAATGAAGTGGGTCCCTAGATGGCTTCTAAGGCCTCTTTCCACTCTATTATCATAAATACAAGGCATACTTACACCTGCTCCTTCTCTTCTCATCCCTCATGATTCCTGAATAATTATAGCTGAAGTATTGAAATATTTTACTCAAGCAGGATCTCCCTTGGTGGTATTCATTCTTTGCAAAAATTGTACTGGCCTTTGCAATCCCAGTGACACAGGCAGGAAGCAGCCAGGCGTCGCCACCCTCCTCACGCCTGACTGGCCAAAGAAGACCCAGAGAGGTGAGGTGACTCGCCAAGGTCAGGGCCAATGGCTATGCAAGGAACAGGGCCTCTGCGCCAGGGGGCCTCTGTGCTGTGGCAGGGGCCCAGCTGCTTCTCAGGAAAGCAGGAAATGGGGTGTATTGTGACCGGGATTTGGAGCCAGGAAATGAGAAAGTGCGGGAATTAGAATCACTGAAGATTACACCTGGGTTTTAAAACTCAGCTCATCCCATCTCCTTGCTGAGCGATGAGGTTATCAGAGAGGTGATTAGCTACCAGCTTGCAGGCAAAACTAGTTGGAGGTGATGCTGAGACTAGAACCAGCGCTCCTTGCTTCACACCCATAGTTCTTTCTGCCCTTTGGAAATGTTCTCCTTAGCAATTTCTTTTTTGGCAGAGGTTTCCAAAACTAAAATAAGACTTTGATTTTTACCACTACTGTTTGGGATTTTTCTGCAGTCTTCCTTCACTCATTTGCTGTCACTTACTCAAGCTGGCAGAGGGGGTGGGGAGAGCGGATGTGCAGAAATATTCCTCAGTTCGGGTAAGGAGATAAGCTTTGATAACGAAGAGAAATTTCATTGTGCAAAACTAAGAGTTAAAAATAATACAAGCAAACAATGATCAGTCACAAGAGGGTGCCATTAAGGACAAAATGAATGGGCCAGACCAGCAATTTTAAAATCACCTTCCCAGAGAACTCGGATTAGTGACCCTGCCAACCTATTCCGCTGCTAAACTCACAGAAAAATACAATTAAATCAATGGATAAGATTTTTTTTTCTGGGCTTTACATTTTAGTTCCATAAATTCTTCTTGAATGATCAAATGAAACAGTAAGTTGCATATGAGAGAATCTTTATCAAAACTTGAAAACAGCCCCTTACCCTTAAATTTTTGGCGTGTGCTTTTGTATTGTTCCTACTCGTGAAACTGTTCTGTGTTGTTGAGACTGACTTAAATCTATCCCTATTGCAAGGTATCCCACGAAGAGATCTGTACTTCCGTCCCCTGAGCCAGAGAATGAGCTTCCAGCCACTGGTGCAGGCAAGAAAGGCTGCATGAGAGTTTAATGTGGGGATCAGGGTCCACACTTTACTCGGCCACACTTTTGAAAATGGATAGAACTGATGTTGCCAGTAGGGCAGAGTGAGGAGATTTTCCAGAAAGATCCTATTCAATCTGTTTCCCTGGTCTGTGAAGACCTGTGTGTAGATACCTTACAGGGTAGGGTTTTGTCTTTTGGAAGAGAGGTGGGTGGGCTGGTGATAGGAGAACACAGGGTCTTAGTTTCTTATAAACAGATGTTGCTGTGCAGGTGGAGTGTCTCTGAGTCAAGTTTCCAGGTTTATATTACAATCATTCTGATATAAGCTTTCACCTACTTTGGGCTTACTCATTTTTTTCTGTTTTGGCCAACGGACTGCCTTAGGTAGATTCCTATAATTATTTAAATTCCACTTGCCCTGCCCAGAAAGAGTTTATAGAACACTGTTTTTTACACTCACTGTTAAAATATTTTATAGAATGAAGCAATTTGCAAGAAAAAGAACCCATCCCTCCAAATTTTCTCCTTCTTTGTTAATGTACATAGATTATTAACAAAACTGTAATCAATGGATATTTTGGACTATTCTTTTTCAACCGACATTATTCCATTTATACATTTCTAATTTCCACACATGCGTCATTTTATATGGCTAGGTAATAATCATTGACATGCTGTAAATTATTTAGCCACTCTCTTACTACTTACTGTCTAGCTGTTTTTTTTTTAACAATTTGTTTAAAAAGTGATTTAGGATAATTTCTTTGAGATATAGTGAAAGGTTGCGGTAGTTTATAGCTCTTGCAACACATTTCTTTCTAGGCCATGTGACAGAAAGACCAAACCAATCTATTGTGCTAATGTTGAATGTGAGTACCACATACCTACTGAAGTGAAACATAAAATCACTGCCAGAACACCATGCAGAATTAAGTGTCTACGAGATGAAACACAACCTCAGTGAGTGCTCTCCGGGCAGTAACCTCTGGTCTCACCCCTTCTGTCCTTTGGCTAGTGGTAATAATAATTTGTTAAGACTTTCCCATGTGCCAGGCACTCTACTAAGCACTTGATTTACCTTGCAGCATTTAATCCTTGCAATACCCCAACAGATACTAGTATTATCTTCTATTCCACAGATGAGGAAACTGAGGCTCAGAGGTATGAGTTGCCGAAGGTCATGGAGCTGGGAAACATCAGCTCTGGGCATATCGTTACAGCTTGTGGTCTTAAATCCCAGAAGATGCTGCAGCAGATGGGATCATTAGGAAGAGCCCACTGGATACCCACCTGCCCCCCGGTAATTGGGCATTTCAGCAGGGCACCTGACTCCCCTAGGGAGAGGAAAGAAACACCATTTAGGTGTTTCCACAGCTTTTAGGTTATCAGTCAGCAGGGCCATGCCACAGCCTAAGACCTCAACCCCAAAGAGTTGGGGACCCCAGGACCAAAGAAATGAAAAAGCAAATCCTTTTTTGCATTTCCACTACAGGAAGTCCAGACCAAGGCCTCAGCAGCTGGTTGTCTTAAAACCCTGCTTTACCATATATGCCTTAACCATCCATGTGTGACCCCAGGGCACAATCCTGGGGACCAGCTGAGTGGGGGCCCTTAGAGACCCCGACTCTCAGCATTCTAAAAATCAGTTTGGTGTGGGGAGATCTCATGTCTCCACAGTTTTCTGCCCTTCCTCTTCACAGGTAAAACCCACCAGGTTCTCAGGCAATTCCATCCATTTCAGTACAAATTCAGAGCCCCTCCCCCTACTGTGCTTATTCACTGAGATATTTCATACTCACAGCATCAATGTCCTGCATTTAAAACCTCAGCAGATACCTCGTGAATGGCTGAGTCGGCTGCCAATGCCCAAGGTGGCTCCCTGTACCAGTTTTAGAAAGAACTCGTTGAGAATTTTCCAATATGGTTTTTAAGGGGCCAATCCCCTAACAGACTTTGAACACCACAATCACTCGTGGCCCACCATGGTTTATGTCAGCTCACTCGGGCTTAGGCTGGCACC